AAGGCCCTAAGCCCTAAACTAAACCCTAAACCCTGGCAACAAAACAAGCTGCGAGGATGCCGAGCAGTCAGCTGCTGCTGCGGCCTTGGCGATCTTGGCTTGAGCTGCGATGATGCCGTGTGAACGCTTAGTAGCTAGGTCTCCCTGTGGTATCCTTTTGCCCATGTTGTCTTGGTATCTCCTTATGATCAAACCGAACAGTAGGAAAATAACGTAGGATTTGGGGCTTGTAGGATTTATAGGAATTCCGGTTGTTCGGATTTAGTTGGCTTTAGGTTGCTAGGGTTTACAGGGTCTTCGACTTCATAAGGGTTAACGGGTTTTCATCTGTAGAGCGTTAATACAGGGGCCGAAATGATTACCTATTCTGTTTTGGGGGTTCCTGATTAGTATGACTATCGTATAATATGCCCCAAAACCATATTCTAATTATTGGGGTCCCTACATTCGGCTTATGGGGCTGTGCTGGGTTTTAGAGGTTAGGCTGTTCACAGTTCGCTGCCAGTGTAGGCACAAAACACTGAACACCTCCTACATGCCCAAAAACAAAAAGAGGAGAGCACGGCCTGAGAATGCCGTGACTACCCCAGCAGGAAGCATTTACCCTGTGCTCGAGATTTTGTCCTCCGGATACCGCAATCTGTGCATAATGCAGATTTCATGTCTCTAGAGCCTGAGGCATGCTGCTGACCCCGAGGATCCCAAGTATTCAAGTACTACAGGGGTCATAGTAAATATCTATACTATTTTGGGGGTTCCTTCTGATAACTAAAGCATAGTGGGCCCCCAAAAACCTATTCTAATTATTAAGGTCACTATGTTGTTCAAATACCGCAAGGTTTTGAATTCAGAGTTTGTGGCCTCCGAGTTGTCTAGTAGTAGAGTATGAAATTCTGGGGCACTCCAATCCCTACAAAATCCCAAACGGCTAGCGGTTAGTTGCTCAAGGTTACTGAACAAGCAAGGATGGTGTTTGGACTGTTGCGTTTCAGTTTTAGTCTCCAAGCTCGAACTTGGGAGTACCACTCCGTGACAAGAGGATGATAGCTATTGCAATGCATTTGTTACGACGACGGTGACGACGAACCGTTGCACTCTCTCTTGCTACTCTGCATCTTACCCGTCATTACATCATGGCGAGAACAGCAACTGCTACTCCTGCGACAGCGCTGTTCGTGTTGCGAAAAGCGGCTTCACGATCGCTATTACTCCGGCGATTTCCCACACTCCTGCAACCACCACATCAATGCTGCTAGCACTGCGACAACAACTGCTACCGCTGTTGCCCCGGTCGACGCCGCGACAGCAGTAAGAATTACTACGGCTACCAGGCTGCGACTACGACGACGACAACACTTAGTACAACTACTATACGACTGCTGCTGAAGCAGCTGAACTACACCACGACGACGACTAATCATAATACCACGAATGCGACTACTGCTACTGCTACTGCTACTACTGCTACTACTGCTACTGCTACTGTTCCTGACCCTGCTGCTGCTACCTTTTGCTGCTACTTCTGCTACCAGTACACATGCTAGTGCTACGGCTGCTGCTCTACCGCTCTACCATTGCGACTACGACTACAACTACTACCACCACCACCACCACGACTACTACTACTGCTGCTGCTGCTGCTGCTGCTGCTGCTACCGCTACTACCTACTACATGCTACCTACTACTACTACTACTACTACTGCTGCTACTGCTGCTACTACTACTACTACTATACTA